TGCCAAACGGAACTGGTCAAAGCGACGCGAATCGCTTAGAATTATTACTTAGTAGTAAAATCCGGCTGACGCTTCCTGTGCAGCAAGAAAATGAATGAACATTTATTTTCTAAAACTTTTGTTAAAGTTGAAGTTTGTGAGCGCCAGATGGGGGAAAGGAAAAACTTACAAATCGAGGCTTAAATATATTCAATACCCAGTGTTGCCAACTTTTGAGTTTCAAAAAGGACCAAAACTTCGAAAAGAAAAAAAATTTTGAATCAAAGGATACATTTTTCATATCAATTTGTACTCTAGCACTACTGAAAGGCTATGTATGTATATATATGCAAGTAATTTTGTATTTTTGATGGAATGCGGATGCCATACATACATACACTTCATTTAACAAACGCAGCATTCTTTCATTTTCCCAAATTCACATCTTTTCCCTACTATGGCAATAATTAAAAATGATTCTCCTGGTTGGATCCTAACTTAGTCTGGAGAGGTCTTTGACTCATCATTAGTCTCACCGAGCTGCTGCTAACTAACTTTTTTCTTTGATGCGCTACTAAGTATCCACAACAAGAGCGAATTTCAAAGTCTTTAATACGTACTTATGTAGCAAAAGTACGTCGTAATATAAAATGTCACTCACTCATAAATTTCAGAATAATTCTATGAAAAAATAAAGCACTCATATAATATGTATATCGTTAAATAACGGGGGTCAGTAACCTCCGTTCAATTTATGCCTCAATTCGCATTTTGAAACGCAGACGCATTTTTGTTTTTCTCTTAAGCAGACACTAAAGCAGTTCATTGAAGTAAAAAATATTTTTACCTTTCGAATTCTATGCCGCTTACTCTTACTATTATTACTATTATTAAATTTTTTAATGGTACACTTCCAGTCGTCTGCCAAATTGCGGATACGATTTTTAATTTTTAGCATACAAAAATCCTGAATGACTGACTCACTGACTGCCTTTCCATTCACAGGTCCAGCATGAGCAGCACGCATGCACTTGCAATTATATCGGTATAAAAAATTATATAAAACAAGCACACTTGTATACATACATACAAGTACATAAGCATGCATTCATGCAACGATGAAACGAATGGTTGTTTTTTTTTTCCATTAATGCCGATAGCTAACCTACTCACCTACAGGCTACATGCTGTGGCATAAGTATTCATATCAGCATCCTTGCTCTGCTCATCGTGCTCCATGCGACAATTTCCTTTTTATGTTTGGTTGTTGTGCAAATAAAGAAGGCAAAAATATATTTAAAATAAAAAGCTAGAACACAGTTCAACCTCCTTTGGAGCTCGCTGCCGCTTCGTCAACTAAAGATATAGAATCTAAATAGGGAGGGATAGCTCTGACAAACCTGCTTTCAAAATAAATAAATGTGTTTGATATTTATGTTGAGTGTAGGGATGTTTCGAATGCCATATTTTTCACAATGCGCAAAGATTTTTTGTATGAAAAATGAGCAGGAAAGAATGTTACTCATACGTCATGTACACCTGAAAATTTCTCGAAAACTTATCCATGGAATAATAAATTAACTCGATTTTCGGAATCAGTGAACAATTCTATATAGGAATTCGATAGTGGCGTCCGGTGTTATTTTTTAGTTTCAGTCTTTTTTTAAATCCCTTCTTCTGCTTTTTTGCTATATCTAGTGCCTTTTCCTCCCTACGTCGCTACTTTATTTTGCCTTTTCCAGCCTATTTAGGTTATTTTATTTCGTCTTTTTTAAAGGTTTTTAATAAAATAAAAATATTATTTGTCGCCAATCGGTATTTTTTTTTTATTTTTGTGACTCATAGTTTAACCCTTAAAATTTTATCTCTATTTTTCCGATCAAATGTAACGTTATTTTAAGATTTTCTTTTCGATCCATTTTGTATCGATATATGTATTTATTTTTTCAATCATTTTATAACCGTAATTTTCGGACTTAATTTCTTAGATCATAGAAGATCATAAAAAATCGGTCATAAAAACCCAGTATCTATTATAACGGTTATGATCGAAATAATAAAAATCCAAAACAACGATAATCTAAATAATAAAATAACGGTTAGATATAACCGAAAAAATAATATTCCAAATTTAAAGATTATTTTTGATCGACAAAAATAAAAACCCTAAAATAACGATTTTGCAGTAACGGTTATTTCCCGTCAACGGTTATTTTCCGTCCTTGTTTTAAATATACACGTTTGTGCTAAGAAATATTTTTGTTTGAATACTCTTTCGTTCTAAACTTAACAGATGTTTTTTTTCAGAATTTTGGAAAACCAAATAAAAAATTAAAATTACAAAGGTCGGTAGGACGGTACTTACTAAAGGCCTAATAGAATTTGAAAACCAGTAGTACTTCAATAAATTAGTTTCAGTGCCTATTAAAAACTTGGATTTTTAAAGAAATGTCCAACTTAAGAACTTTACTATTATAAAGTTTTGTTGCTACTCTGCAAATAAGTACTTGTAAATCTTAGTTAAGGCTTTTCTATCCTAGACATGTGGAGAGGTGGTCCACCCCTTCTGAAATGTTTTCATTGGAAGACTCAAGAATCTGAACTAGCAAGTCGGGGATGCTCTGTCTTTTGGTTGAAATCTGCAGTAGATTACACTGACCGGAAGTTTATATATAAATATATATTTTTACAACTAATTCGGATTCTACGCATAAAAATACGTAACTTTTGTTTGATAGTTTTTTCTCGGAACCTCTAAATGAACTTTGAACTTCAATTCGTCTAAAATGGACGCAAATATTTTTATTGGAAAACGAAAAATTTTGAATAACCAAGTCGGAGAACCTGTATCTTTTGATCCTATTACCGACTGCGGCATCGACCGGAAGTGAGTTAAACTGGCCGGAAGTCCATTTTCGGAATTTCTTGCAGTCGGTTTAACAAATTTCGAATTCTGTTGCAAAATTTTAAATCGCTAATGACTCTGTTTGAAAAAATCATGTTACTATTTTCTTAGTGTACTCGCTCACATTAATTTAAAATGTAAAAAGCGTTGTAAAATGCGCCGGTTTGCGCATTTGACAGTCCACAGAGTAAAGCGTTTTTCCTGTCGCACCCATCAAAGCAAATAGTAGCATCGGTAGCTGGTTAGCTGCACGTATACATATGTATATTAGCCTGCGTCACGCTGCATACAAGAAAAATGGGATCGCTTCTTTTTGAACGAATTATAAAACAGAGTGTCACCAGCACATTTTGACTCAATTCAAGGTCATACGCAAGCAAAGACAAATTCAAATAATGTGATGTATTTTGGAAGGATTTTCCGTCATCGCTTGTGAAATTTGGTTATATTTCTTTTGTTTATTTCATATTTGTTATAATTTTTAAGTGCAACTTATTGTCTAACAAAAACCATATAAATTCATGTTTCAAACTTTGTGCAAAAATTATAAAAATTTCGCAAAGTTGCATCTGAATTTTTTTTTTTGGGGCACAATAGATCTTAAGGGGAAGTGCTCTATCCACAACAATAATCTAAATTTTTAACTTTTTAATCAGATTTTTTGTTGAGTATGCTGTTTTATAGCCCATTTAATTTTAGTACAATAAAGAGTAGGTTTTAAGTTGCTAAAAAATCGCATTAATAATTTTTTCCATGCACAAAAAATTGTCGCACATACTTTGTATGGAACACTTTATTGCACTAAAATTTAATGGGCTGTAAAAATGGATGCCAAAAAAATCTAATAAATCTTATTAAAAATTTGCAAATTTAGATGGAACTTTAGACAAGAAGCTGCACTTAAAAAAAAAAAAAATACTAATTAAACATAAGAAATATAGCTAAAAATGGTCAAAATAAGGCGTTTCTATTATTTTTGTGTGTATAAGTGTCTGTCAAGCTAAAATGTTTGTGAAGAAGTCAAAATGTTAAAGCAGATCTTTGTCTTATAAGGTTATTTTCCGGAAAAAAAGTTCCCAATTATGTTTCTTATTTTATCAAAACATCGATTTTTCAGTATTTTTCACGAAATGCACTGAATTGAGAAAAAATAAAATTTACAAAATTGTATGATGCGCTGCTTTTTAGAGGCATCCTAAAGTGTCTCTGAATTTAAGTTATCTGTATGTACATGCTTTTGCAGGCTGCATCAGCTACAACGACTGCCCATCGGCGTGTACTAGTTTTGTTTTTACGTGCACCTTAGACTTACTCAGGCTTAGCATAGTATGGTTTGGAGGCGTCGATATGTATGTGGATATTTAAATTCACACAAACATACAATTTTATGAGCAGAATAAATTTCAAAGTGTATATCCTGGTTAAAGAATGTTTTAGATAAATTTATGTCCCACAAAAGTGTATCAACGAGTGTGCATTAGGGTGGTCCAAAATAAGTGAAGTCGGAATTTTAGTGCTCTCACCCCCAGGGATTGTTCCATACCGAAAAAAACATACCACTGTTTTTTTTTTTTCGAAATCAAAAAATATTTAGAGGCCACTCAAAGTTTTCCATGTATTCTATATGGGGAAAAAACAATTTCGTAGAAATGGTATCGAATTTTTGAAAATCAATAATTTACGATCGGACAACTCTGTTTCTCTTGAGGAGACTTCAAAAGATATTATCCGATTGTTTATTTAAAATTTTTTTGATATTAATTATTTTTTACAAGTCTCCACAAACCACAAAAATGGAATGGGGGACCCCCAAAAAAACATGGGTATATTTTTTCGGTATATAACAATCCTACGGGGTGGAACATTACAATCTGGACTTTATTTTTCCACATGCATTTTTGAACCACCCTAGTGTACAAAAGGTTTATAGTTGCATACATTCCTTTTTTCTTCCTTTCCAACCATTCTGCTTAGCACTTACTACTACTTCCCATCTAATTTCCTTTTTTATATAATTTGATATGCAATATGTACGAATATTTCCATTTATGTATTTACGTTTTTTTTTTTTATTTATTGCTTTACTTATTTTCTTGTCATTTTCATTTCATTTCAGCTGCCAATACTATTTGACAAGTCATCCATGGGTACCAGCATATCAGGGTGTCATCACATTTTTCGTTTTGGCCAATTTCTCATTAGCGACATTCATGGATCCCGGTGTCATACCAAAAGGTTGGTAGATATTTAATTTGATTTGTTGGCACTTGAAAACTTGTTTTGCTTCTTTTTTTTTTTGCAAATTTTCTCACACAGCTTCACCAGATGAGGACCGGGAGGAGGAGTTTCGTGCACCACTTTATAAAAATGCCGAAATCAATGGCATCACCGTAAAAATGAAATGGTGTGTGACTTGTAAATTCTATCGACCACCACGTTGTTCACACTGTTCCGTATGCAATCACTGCATAGAAGTGAGTATAAGTGTTTTATTTGATTATACGATGGCTGTTACTGCATTTATGTGAGTGGTTACTACATCTATTTTTTTTTCGATTTTTATTACAGACATTCGATCATCATTGCCCTTGGGTGAATAATTGCATTGGACGTCGCAATTATCGTTTTTTCTTCTTCTTTCTGGTTTCGCTGTCCATACACATGCTGAGCATATTTTCGTTATGCTTATTTTATATACTGAAAGTTACACCACGTATAAAGGAGCCATCGCCCATCGTAGCGTATCCTTTTCGAAAGTTGACTAAATTATTTTAGCTTTTTTATCTTTACATCACAGTTTTTAGTAGGTAGAATACTGATTTAAGGATTTAAAGAGTCAGTGGTTTGGTTTTGTTAAAAGAGTTACAAAACGGACGAATACGGAGATGAATCTGAAGATGAAGACGAACATGTTACGAATACGAAGACGACAACTCGAATACGACGACTAATACGAAAACCAATATAAACCAAAGACGATCAGGAATACGTTAAACGTTATCTACGTATTTGGCCGAGCTTCGCCTCCAATTCGTGTTTTGCTTCTTGGTGTTGTGACACATATGTGAGATCTACACCTTTAATCCATCTCCGAAGAAGCTTTTTTATGGTAGAAGTACATTCGAATTTGCCATTGGCTGCCGAGGGGCCACCGCTATTTGAAAAAAAAACTTTTTTTTTGATGTTGCTGGGACCAGAAATTGAACCATGTACCCCCGCAGTGGCAGTAGGCACGACAAAAGCACTACTCAAAACCGAAAAAAATTTGTTTTACTTTTGATCTAAAAAAAACCTTTCAACTTATTTTGCTTTGTTCTTTTCTTAATTTTCAGTAATGACTTTATATCAACATAAGCATTTTCTCTATATAGACACTGTGTAATGTGTAAATAAAACCGTTTTTTTTTAAATTTCGAAATCGGGAACCGGTATTTTCAAATTGCAATTTTTCGAATAATTCGAAAGTCGGTTTTGGAAAAAAGGCGAATAATCGAACACCCCACTATGTATATATGTACATATACATATGTATATCTAAGCAATAACACTTGCAAGGCATATCTTGCAGTGCATGTGCACTGTATCCAACATTTATTGGCTTTCCTTAACTAGCGACTTTTACGCATCCGTACATAGTATGGTGCTGATGGCCATTGTTATAATCCTAGCGATTCCAATTTTTGGTTTAACCGGATTTCACATGGTGCTCGTATCACGTGGCCGCACAACAAACGAACAGGTTACAGGCAAATTTAAAGGCGGCTATAATCCATTCTCTCGTGGCTGCTGGCATAATTGCTGCTACACCCAATGTGGACCACAATATCCGAGGTATGTATGATGATGTTATTCACATTCATTAAATGCAATTACATATTAATATTCTTCTTTTTCTTATTAACTTACGCATTTCCATAATTGAAATAAATTATGTTGCTCACATCCTACACCCGCTGATGATAATCTCTCTCGAATGTTGACGCATTACAACTAAAACCTCTTCGGTCATTGTAAACAACAGTCTTCTTAAGCCAGAAAAATATGCAGCTCGTCGCTCACACAAGGATGGTCAGGGTATTAGTGTTATCACTACCGAACGTCGCAACAATCAGCAGAGCAGCAGTATGCGGGGCAACAGTACACCTGGCAATGCGCCACGTTCGCCACGTGAAACGCTGAAAAACTATTACGATAGGGATAATCGACACACTCAGGTAAAGACTTATACGGACCAGGGCAATGGTTATAATCAACGGTCGGGCAGCACAACGCTTTATAGTAAGGTGGGTAAATTGATTATTGCTGGTTATTGTTGCGATTCGTTTGCGAACCTATGTATCTTTTGTAAAGTCCAAAAAACAAAAAAAAATCTATTTAACTTTCTTTTTTCTTCTTATAAGTATGTAAACGTTGTGTTGTTGTTTATACCTGCATATCCTCACATTCATATAGAAAGGCCCTACTTCATTTGCTTTTCAAATCCAGCACTGGACAAAATTGGAGTTTAAAGATAACTACTGTAGTATAAAATTAGTATACATAACCATATGGAGTTTTTCCATCACTCCATAAAGAAACGCAAAAATGTTAGATAGGGCCTTTCCATATAAAGGATTTACAAAACAAAAATGCGCTCGTATTTTTGTATGTATTTGTATGCATTTATTTTATTTAGCATAATTATAACAATATATATTTTTGTTATTAGTTTCCATTAACAAACATATGTATGTAGTAAACGCGCACTGACACCCACACATACACACATTTGTAGACCAATAATCGGTGGTTGGTTCTTGTACATACATGCATAAAAACGTGCCTATATAGATTCGTATGTTGCTGCATAGATTTTTCTCTCAATTGCCTGCATTGTTATTGAATGACGTGATTTCTACTACGTACGAGTAGTATACTTTGCTTCCATCAATTTATTCCAATAGTTTACAATTTTCATTTAATACATTAAATAATAATTGAATATTTGAGCTCGAAGTTCTATATAATTTCTTGTATTATTTTTCTATTTTGCACTTTGCACTAATTGGTGATTGCATTTATAGCAGTTTAATAGTGTTGTCACTGCCTGCCCGCCTGACTACGAGACAATATTTTTTATTCGAGTGAATATACATATGTATGTATTTTCTAATGTACAAATGGTTTTTTTTTTGAACTATGGAAATTAATTTTAATTTATATAATATTGCACTAATGAACAGATTTTGCTTTTAGTTGCTTGGATAAAATTTGCTTTTGTATGTGACGCATTGCTAAATTGGGCCAAGCAATTTGGATTAAGATTTGACTTCAAAACATTATATATATTTTATTTCATGATAAAAACATAATTATTGTTTTTATCATGTTTTATATTGTTTTATTTTCGATTGCGAAAATATATATTTTTTTATTTGTAAATATTCCGTTCGCATAAGTATGGGTGTATTCCGAAACCCATCAAGCCAAAGCAGCAGTCTAATTTTATTTCTAGACTATAATTAGTACAAATGTCCAATATGCGCAACCACGTTTAAATGCCTAATTGGAACTTAGTTACGTAAATAAGGCGTTTCCGTCAATTATAGTTTAGAAGTGGCTTGATTCATTTCGCAACACACCCCATGTACCCTTATGATCAGCTGATTAAGTTGAGTAAAAGCATAAACAGACGACAGCGGTGATCCGGATCAACTCGGAAATTAACTGCAGTTGATCCGGATTAAGTCCGAGTTAATCCGGATCAACGCTGCCGTCTGTTTAAGCTTTAACATTTTGACCAGTTTTGGCTATTTTACGTAATGTTTATTTTTTTATTGTTTATGTAATGTTTAGTTTTTTATAAAAGTCTGACATATTATATAACAAGCACCATATAAATCCACATTTCAAACATGGTACAAAAGTTATAAAAATTCAACAAACTATACCAATTTCCATCAAAAATTTCAAACTTTTTATTTAGAATTTTTATAAAAAATTTAGGTATGCAGATTTGAAGCCCATTAAATTTTAGTGCAAGTTTCAAGATGCTGGAAAATCGCGTTGATGTTTAATCATTTTTTTTTAGCTGACGTTGTTGTGCATTTTCTTCCATATAAAGTACGATGGACAATGGGAAATTCTTTTGTCCTAATTTATTCTACTAAAATTTAATTACCTATAAAACTACATACCTAAAGTTTTTCTAAAAATTCTGAACTAAAAGTTTGAAGTTATTGTGTGTATGTACTTTATTGGTAATGTTTGTTGAATTTTTATAATTTTTGTACAAAGTTTGAAATGTGGATTTATATGGTGCTTTTATATAATATGCTAGACTTTTATAAAAAAAAAAAATAATAATAATAAACATTACATAAACAAAAGTAAAACAGCCAAAACTGGTCAAAATGTCACTTAATTTAACCAGCTGACCACAAGTGTGGGTATACCGCAGCTTTCCTTATATTTACTTCTCTGTTAAATCATTCATGAGTGGTAATTAGCCATTAGCAAACTACATTTAATTATAATAAATTAAGGCAGGTGTATCACATTAAATTTTTTCTTGATTGGTGTAAGCCCCTTCGCGACTTCGGCCGAGTCCAATAAAGCACGCCAGTCGTTTCTCTTCTATTCCAATTGACGCCAAGTGGGAGTCCCTATTGAAGCCAAGTTCGTATCCACCTGATCCTACCGTCACAGAGGAGACCTTCCTTCATATGTACGACATGGCTGACTTCATTCAGCTCAACGTTAAATCGTCTGCGCGATGCCTTATCAGATGTTTTCATTGTCCATGTTCTACGGTATATACCAGCACGGTCATGATGAGTGACTTATAGTCCAAAGTAGCGCTTAATGGCAAGGGATGTTCTCCGTTGAATTTCAATGCTGACGTTAGTTCTCAACGATATTTCCTCATTCCCCACCAGACCCCGCGCTTTGCTTCTCTATCTTATTTCGGGAAGGCAGAACAGACATTGCATTAATCGACCGGTGATATCGACGTCATCGGCACATGCCAGCAATTGGTATGATTTTGTAAACATTTTTTATCAGTTTTCTTATTGTCCCCTGCAACTTCAGCAAAAAAAAACACACACATACGATACGAGTTGCACTGTCTAAAACCACGTTTAGTACCACGCTTAGGTTCCAATCAGCAGGCATGGTTTCGTCAGATCATATTTCGCAAAGAAGTTTGTGCAAGCTCCCGAAAAATTGCGAATAAGATCCCGTGAAAATCCCTAAAGCGCGGCAAGTATTTGAAGTAAATTCCAAAGAAGTCCTCAAAAAGGCCTCTGGAAAACCCTACAAATATAGAAACCTTTATTTTTTTATGTTGCCATTTGGCGTTTTTGAAGTTTGTCTAGGTTGTAATAAAAGACTAATTAAAATTTAATTATTTAACAGCTCTGGTCGGAATTCACTCGCTAATTAGTAATGAGAATGTATATTTATTTTACGATGAGAGTAAATATCCATTCTTATTAGAGTGAATTCCTATTCTCATGAGAATTATTCTCATCATTTACCAAAACCTTTTTACATGTTTTCACATATTCAGTATGAATAAATATTTAAAAAATTATTGTTTTCATATAGTATGACCTTTTTTGTTACGAAAAATTCACGAAAACCGCACTGTCGACAAAGCGTACATTTCTCTGCTTCATGCACCGGGTATAAAAAGTTTAATTTCGTCCGAATATAATAACCAATATTATCGCGGTTTAGATTTTCGGATTTCTGTCTTCCCGAGAACCTCTTTTTATAACAGAATATGAAATTGCTTTCTAATCTACCGCGCTGTATATTCTAACCGAGGTTTAATAATAAACCCTTACTGAACAGTCTTTCAGGAAACTGTGAAAACGTGCTTGTGTGTGTTCTGTCCATTCAATGGCAGATTGCTTTATTTACCCAACAAAATTTATTAATACATCTTAATATATCGAATCATCGAAATTTAAAGCTTTGGCGGTGCAACCTCCTTCTGCTTTTTCGATTATTTTTTTCTATTTCGGCACTTGTTTTCAACAATTTTACCTTTTTTTTGCATGCGAAGTTGAGTTGTATTTCCCCCAATTTTTTCTGTAATTGTATGCATTTAGTAAATTGCTATTTACTATAATTGATATTATTTTTGATTGAATGCACTATCGTAATGGTATGCTATTATATTGTTAGACAAGCTCTTTATATTCAAATTGGTCAAAAACAAAAAAAGCAAATCAAAACTCTACACTAAATGCAAGCACCGAAAAAGGTAAAAAAATTAATTCTATTCTAATATTTCATTTTTTCTATATTTTTTGCGAAAATACATTCTATTATTGTTCATATACATATATTTGTTCCTACAACAACTTTTTGGAAATGATTTCTCTTTAATAAAAGTATCTACTCTTCATGTCATCCGTTTCTTATTAAAATTTCCATTTTGCGTTATGCAATCTACAATATATTCTAAAATAACTACCTTTATTTGTATGTTGGTAATTTGAGCGATTTTTACTCGTATAAAGTTCGTAAAGATTTCATTCATTCATTCAAACATCAATCATTCAATTGTTTCAACAATCAATTTGAAAACAAGGGTCATTGAAGAATGAACAGTTCTCATTATCGTTTCATCGTTTTATGTTCCGTTAACCTACATACATACATACATACAAAGATATATTTTTTCGCAGAACCCACCACGACGCATAAATGGCATTTTCAACAGGCTTTGAAGTTTTTTTAAGTATGAGAAATACTTGCAAGGTTTTTAAATACTCTGGAAATGTCTCGATATTAAATAGTTGTAGGTAAGACTTGACAGGTGGCGACTTAAAATCCCTATTAAGCGAGTAGTGATAGATGTGGAGTTGTAATCATCTCAGCTTTTTCCTCTCGCAAGACTAGGGTCCACACGGAGCTCTCAGCCATCGATATTAAGACACATGCCCTCTTTTACCAAGAAGTGATTATTATTCACAAATCCTATCAATGGTCGCATCTTATAAGTATACGAAGAGAAGTCAGAAAGTTAGAGAAATAAAAAGGAGATGTAAAATTGTATACAGTTCCGGTTAATAAGACAAAATTTAAAGCAAAATTTAAAATGATATTGTTTGCAACTTATGTTTATTTATTTATTTTTAATAATTTTCATTTAAAATATAGTTCGATCTCTAATAGACCCACATAAATAACAGTTTCACAGCTTGCACAAAGTTCACAAAAATGAATCAAACTTAAAAAAAAAAAAATCATCAAAATTTCAAGCTTTCTATTAAGAATTTTTGTGTAGAGAGTGTTGAGCATTTTTTTTCATATAACGTATGTATGTATGAACAAAATGTATTTTTATTTGCAAGAAATGCCCATGTAGAGGATCTACAAAAAAATGCTAAGAAATCAAAGGTAATCTTCAGTGATTTGGAATTTGAACTTTATTATACTAAAATTGAATGGACTACAAAATGCGTACTCTAAAAATTCTGAATAAAATCTTGATGATTTTTTTTTTTTTTTTATTAAGTTTGATTAATTTTTGTGAACGTTGTGCAAGTTTTGAAACTTTTATTTGCATATGTGGCTTCTGTTGTAGATCGAACTATATTTTAAATGAAAATTACTAAAAATAAATAAATAAACATAACGTAAACAAATATTGGCAGAGTCCGCTAAATAACGTCCGTCGATTGTCTTCATTAAAAGTTTTGAAATGTTGGACAAAAGAAGAGCTATTTCAGAATTTAATCATGAGCGCAGTTGCTTCAGGATAAGAAGCAAAAATAACGGCTGCAAAGGGGTGGACAACTCTTACGTCCTTCCGCAAATGCTCGCTGGGAAAAAATTATTTTGCCTGATGGTCGAACTATCAAAATGATAGAATCTGGTGGACAGAAGCTCCTGGTTCATCACAAATTATCGAGCACTTTCAAATCCCAAATCTGTGATGGTTTTGGCTGATGTTGGTGTATCTGGCAAAACAATCCTGGTATCGCTAAAGCAATTACTGCCCCGTGAAAGGGATCTAATTTCTAAGTCGTTCACCGATAGGCCAAACCGTTTTGTTTTGTTATGCAAAGAGTTCACTTAGCCAGTTTTAATTATTCAATCTATAAAATTTCTTCAAATTTAAACCGATATATACATAAGCATAACAACCCTAGCAGGACTGTAATTAATTTCCATAAAAATTCTTCCTCCTCAAACACATACAGCTCCTAGCGTAACCCTACAAGGATTCTAAAAGGCGTATTACTGGTACGGAGTCCTCTATGTACATCATCAACGAATGTGTCTTTGTTGCCTAAAATGTGCTTTCCATAAGTTTTTGTAAATATTCGGGGCTCTCTGTTCCACGTGTCTAAGTACTACAAGCTTTCTACGTATAAATTTTAAATAACCATTCACAGGGTAAAAGCTTTCTCTGTCCATCGCCGCCCTTAATTTATGGAACATGTGTTAAAAACTATGCATTTTCTCTAAATGTTTGCCTCCCTCGAATATGCTCACCAGCTCTTCCCAAATGGAATTATTCGATTCTATACTCCTCAAATATGAAACCCTCAATTGATCTCTCATCATATTCGCTACCATAAAATACATGCCTTCATACATGCATATAATTTTTATGTTAAATATTTCACCTCAAACCGCCGCTTTCAAGTTCTTTATTTTTATTTTTTGTTTTTCATGCAATTTCGATTTAAATTAATGTTAGCTTTATACGTTTACGTTTACGGCCGATTTTCAATTATTACCTAACACCGCGCCTTTTTGCGCTCCTTCCCCATCGTTTAGCTGTCGCCCGGACGTGAATGTTCAGACACCGACATGGAACCGCAAGCATCACAGAGTCAAGATTGTGAGCCCACACCTCCATTACAACGACACAACTCGACGAATTTCTACCTGCCTCAAGTGGAGGCAGGCGTGAGCAATTTAAATAATGGCGTTATAGCAACTAATGCGGGCATGTTGCCCAACGCTGGCGGTGGAGGTGGTGGTGGTGGTGGTGTAGCAGCAGGCGGAGGTGGTGGAGGCGATTCGCCACGACATATGCGCATGTACCATCCGCGACACAGTCCATTAGCGCGACAGCGGTAAGTTTTTACATTAATTAATATTAATTAGAGCGAAGGCTTTATTTTTCTAATTAAATTTTTCCATTCTCTTCAAAAGCGGTTTGGAGCCACAACGCGGCTATAATCCCGCCGATCCACTTTCGCCCGATCATCCTGCTCATCCGGGCAATCAGGGCGCACAACAACAACGCAGTGGGACAACTGCAACACCCACAATGCAGCAACGAATAAAACCGTTGGGTGTGGCAACACCACTGGTGATGGCAAGTCCAGTTAGAAGGTGAGTCTTTTTTAGCGATTAAACGCATGTGAGCATACGACGCGCGAGTACAAGGGCAAATTCGAGTGCGAAAGTGTAGTTGCAATTGCTGGGTGTCTTCAGGCCATAAAGTTTACACATTGACGAGCAATTGCAATTTAACTACTCTCAACCATCTAAATAACGTGCTCTACTACTCTGCGTTATAATTTTAATTTTTTTATTTTTTTGTCTACATACAAATATCTGTTATAGTTACTACTATTTTCTAAAATATACGCAAAGAATGTGTCTAAACGTATTTAGTAATGTGAATTCTATGATTATCTAATCAAAACTGCTACATTTTCTTAACCGCAAAACTTTGCAAACGCCTTGAAAATTTATTAGCCAAAAAAAAAAGAAAAAAATTTATGTAATTTTTTCATGTAACTCCTAATCTTAGCAGGTATTTAACATAACTTTATTTGCTTTTATTTCCGTGCTTCAAAATTAATAATGAAATGTTTCGCTTTCGATTTTGTGAATATATTTTTACTTGTTAATTTTTTTTTTATTGTTTTGCATTGAAGATGGACATAGCTGGAATTAGCAATTCTTAATTTATGCCAACGCATAATGCAAAATCGGTAAATAACTCGAATTTTAAAGAAAAATTATCGTTAAATAGGAATTTATATCGCCAACGCGCTTTTCCCGGCATACATATGTATATTATTAAAGTTTGCATTTATTTCAAAGGAGAAACAAAAATAGAAGTGAAAATACAAACGGTGAAAAACACACTCATTGGCAACTCCGGGTCGAGGCATATAGCCAGGCTCCTTGTTCATAATAAACTTTTGCGTTTTCGTCTCCACAGCAATCAAGGCGAATTCAAATAAGGTGGTCTTGCTAAAATAGCTGCTTTAATTCGCCTCGGTACGCATATGTCAAAACTCCTTATGAATGAGTGCCAAAGTAGGAGTGTTGGAATTTTCTTTCCCTCGTCCTCCTTGAGCGAAGAACATCCGAAATTTGGCATTAGTATACCAAAGGCGAAAGCAAAACACAAATTTAGTTTTTGTTTTTGTACTACAACTACCACCGTATATGAATTCGCCTTGACAACAACTGATATACAAATTTCTTCTCAAGGTGAATCTATACAAGGTGGTGTTACCGGATCCGCTGATTTCAAAGCGAATTTGTACCTTTTGTCAAAATGATGTGTTTATTGTAATTTTGTCAATGTGCGTATATTTTGTTTTTGTTGTGTTATATAAATTCGCCTTGTTTTGTATTTTACGAATTCAGGGACACTAAAAATTGTAATTTGAAAATTAAGTGCGATTTTCTCAAGTAGGTTTTAGAATTTTCTATTCTCCAAACTCATTTCTTCAGAACAAAATTTGTGCGGGTTGCAAACATTAAAGCTACTATCGCTCTATTAATGTGGTAAATGCAGTAATATTGCAAATTTTATTTCGATTCCAACGGAACTAACTTCAAGTATGACATAATACCGTTACATAAAATGGGCAATTCAATTTTTGTTATACAAAATCATACTTACCCAGAAGATAATTTAGGTAGGCCCTTTTAAGTGAAGTCAATCTAAACGGCTTACCGAAGAAGGGCTACAAATGCTGTTTTCCTGCATGCCTTCTATAAGGGCTTTTCCTGTTTACAACTTACGCGAATGTAAGTTCATATTATTAAGAATTATAAATAATTTCAATTTGAATTTGGAATAAAACAAATACTTTAAAAATGTATGATTAGTAGAAAGACTTCTCCAAAATACGTTCCGAAGTACGTCCTTCAAAAGCCCTTCTGGAATTTCCAAAAAATAAAGGCGATAAAGGAGTGCAAGGTGGAATGCCTCCTGACTTCCAGAAAGGCCTTTCGGAAGGGCTTTTTACTGCTGAAATGTCTTATACCAGCCGGTCGGTCACGTCTCTGGTGTGCTATTCGGAGAAGACCTTTCCAAGATCCATGCTAGGTTATACCAGTTAAATAGAGTATATAATGCAATGTGTTAAGCAAGAAAGAATGCGAGGTTTTGCAAAAGGTTTGAGAGGCAGTCGCAAAGAATCTCAAACTGGTGCGATACGATATAATGCGATGCTTCATCTTTCTTATGGCAATAGGGAAGTCGCCTTGCATATTTTCAGAATCTCTTCGCTCGGAGAAGTTGCTTAACATCCTAGCCTTCCTAGGCAAGCTTGGTCCTCTTGTGACTAAACTAATGTTTCCCTTTCGTCCCATAATCTTAACCTAGTTAATTAAATTGTTATTAATGTAAATAAGAACAGCGATGTCCGTATTTTCACAATTTTGTTCAAATTTTTGTTTTTCCTTTTTAATAAATGCAATTGCTCTCTGCATTCGATCATCCTTGCCACTTAGCGGTCAGCATTTTGCTTGGCCACAAATTTTCGTACATTACAAATTTTAGAAAATCATCATACTGCTTATGAATGTTGCATTAGCTATTATTAAATCTTTAACTGAAAAAAAAGCGTTCAAATTTGTTTGTCAGATATTTGCAGAGTGTGGTAGTATACATACATAGATGTGGGTCATTGAAAAATATAAAAGCTTACATGCACATCTGTAGGAACGCCAGAAATTGCGCCATTTCTCGAGATATCAGAAAGATTTTGTCTTATTGAGTTGGAGCATTTCCCCACAATATTCACGTCAACATATTTACATGCATCCATGTATATGTAAACAAATTATGTTACAAATCGTCAGTAACTTTTCATTGAAGATAGAGTAGATCACTATTTTTTAAGCCTATGTTAATCATCATAAGTGCCTCACTTTTTCAGTAAATTCACTATTTTTCTTTTCCAACTGTTTTACTACAAAAATTCTTCTTTTCTTTTTCGTTCTTTCTTCGCTAGTCAATACTCAAAAACTGATACAAATTTAAACTGCTAAGCTTATAATAAACTGCATATACATAGATAGAGTTAAATGGAAATTAAATTCGAGTGTTAAAAAAATGTTGTAAAAAACCTTGTCACTTTTGAAATTCTACAAACCATCTAAAACCACAACTAATCGTACTATATACCACTACTTCTACTGCTTCTTCTACAACTACTACCATAACTGCTACTACTATCAATACAACCAACCACAACCGCTACGACTACCTACCACCACTTCTATTCTAACGATCTTCGATTTGAACTTCAACTGCAACTTGAATTCTTCTTGTTCTTCTTCTTCTTCCCCACTTCGATCGCGCTTGTGCATACACTTAAACATGTACACACGCCTTCACCAACACAAGCTCCAATCGAACCTCAAGCCCAAGCTCAGCTTCAGCCTCAACTTCAATGTCTGCTCAGCCAAGCTTTGTATAAGCTCTCCGCTGTGTAGCAAATGTTTTCAATGCGTTCGTTCGGTCGTTCGTTTGTTCGTTCGTACGTACAGTTTCCGTCCAATACTTCCGCCACCACTACCACCACCACTACTACTACTATGTTGTAATATTCATTGGAGGTGAGTTTTACGTTTGTTACGTTCGATTTTTTTTTGCCACAATTCTTTTTTTATTTCTTTATTAAATCTAATCATCTGTAAATCGAATTTCATGGTATCAAAAGCAAATAATTTCGTTAATTCATTTTACGTTTGCTCTATATATTACCGTTTTTTTGCTGTACTCGTCTGGAATCACAATCAAAGCAAAAAACAAAAAAAAATAATCACTCATAACAGTTTATATTAAACTCCCATTTCTTTTGTATGTATCTTATGTAATCGTACATTCACCGTTTTATTACAGTCATGGAAATGGCCAGATAATACTTTATTCATTTGTTAATTTGTTAACATAAGATTTTTCAATATCATACAAATCATTCTTTATGTTATAGATAATGAACCCAAACGATTCTGTTAACTGTGGTGCTCATGTGTGCTTGTACAATTGTCCACAAAATAATACGAGTGCGATATTTTGACCAGTTTGGACTTTTGTTTATTTAATGTCTAATATTTTTTTATAAAAGTCTAGCTGGTTATACAACAAACACCATATAAATTCGCATTTGTTGTTTGTAAAAATATTCTAAAAAATCTGCAACATTTCATCAAAATTTCAAACTTTTTTAATGCTGTTGTAGTAACCCATTAAATTGTAGTATAATGAAGTGCAAGTTTCAAGCTGCTAAAGCCGTTGATTTTTGGTTTTTTTTTTTTTTTGCTGGCAGTGTATGAAAAAAATGCAAAACCCCTTCAACAAAACAAAATTATCAAAAATCAATGAAATTTTTACCAACTTGCATTTCATTATACTACAATTTAATGGACTACAAAACTGCATACCAATTTTTTCTGAAGATTCTGATTAAAAAGTTTGAAATTTTGGTGGAATTTTTATAATTTTTGCACAAAGTTTGAAATGTGAATTAATACGGTATTTGTAGTATAACCAGTTTATCTTAAAAAAAAATATAGTAATAATAATAAACATTAAATAAACAAAGGATAAATCGTCCAAACTGGTCAAAATATCGCGCTCCTATTATTTTGCCGACAACCGTATACGCTATATACCAATATACATAACTCAAAATAACGAAAACTAATCGAAATTATTGATCCTCTAACTATTATGTCAATAATAGTTAACTTGACGCATTGATAGCACTGTGCAAAAATTTCAGGGTCATTTTCTGGGACGGAATGATTCGAGTTTCTTGCACGAGTGTTTTAAGAATACATAAGTTGGAAAAGAGTTAGAATAATTTTGTAGAACATATTAACCCATTAGCATCGTTTTGACGGCTTTTTTGATAAGTCTGAGTAAAATGGTATTTGGGAGTTCGCTGGAGTGTTTAAATGTTCTAGAAAATTATTCGCCAGAAAATTTCTTTAGGGACATTCTCAGACAAAATCTTTATACAAAGAACCTAAAAAAAAAAATCAAATATCGCTTATTTACTTCAATAGTTTCATAATCCAAAAAATACAAATTTTGAGTTGGGTATGCAGAAATTACCGCCACCTTTTCTTCT